ATTATATGCATGTGAAGGGACTAATTAATGTTCAACTAAAGTAAGAAAAATAAAGCGTGATCCAAATAATTATTAATGAAGAGGGAAGAAAATTCTTACATTAAACTCTGGATTTATAAGAAGTTAATAGGTTTTTGTATGTGAATGTCATGGCATTTGTGATCTGACGACAGGATTTATTCCTTGCTGGAAGCGACACGTCCGCCATAACAACAGAATGGGCAGTGGCAGAACTTCTTCGAAATCCTCAAAAGTTACAAAAATTAAGAGAAGAAATTCTTCAACAAATAGGCACAGAAAGGCCAGTGAAAGAATCAGACATTGACAAACTTCCATACCTTCAAGCAGTTGTAAAAGAAGTCATCAGACTACACCCAGCAGCTCCATTACTCTTACCACACAAAGCTCAAGAAGACACAGAAATATTCGATTTCATTGTGCCCAAGAACAGCCAAGTTCTCGTAAATGCATGGGCAATTGAGAGAGATCCAAAATACTGGGAAAAACCACTAGAGTTTATGCCTGAAAGATTCATCAATTCAAGTGTGGATTACAAAGGAAGGGACTTTGAGTATATACCATTCGGCGCCGGCCGGAGAATTTGTCCTGGAATGCCACTTGCTATAAGGATGGTTAATTTGATGTTGGCTTCTATTGTTCAACCATTTAGTTGGAAGTTACCAAAAGGGATGGCACCAGAGAATTTGGATATGGAGGAACAGTTCGGACTTACTTTGAGGAAGGCCATTCCTCTTCTTGCCATTCCTAGTATGGAAGAAAATAAGGCCATGATTTGAGTCTAGACATATGCTATAATTGCCTGTGTATTACCTTAATGGGATTGTCCTCATATGAGCAATGATTGTGAGAAATATACTCCACCACTATGACCGGATATCTTTACTGCAAATATCTTATCTATCTCTGTAAGGCGTAAGCTAATTAATTTTCCTTACTTTTTCTTTAGTATGTCTTGATTATCAAAATATTTCTTGGCTATTGTGTTATGTCGCGGAAAAGGCAAACCCGAAATAATGAAGATAAAGAACATCAAATTTTAACTAGGAAAATCTTTCAAATCGAAGGTAAAAACCAGGGGATCACAAAGATCCAAAAAACTCCACTATAACAATAAGAGGGTTACAAAAGTTTTCCAAATTGGCTGCACAACAGGTACCAAACATGGAGCAATAATAGCAACAAGAGCAACAACTAATCAATTGAAGCAAAAGGAGAATGCACAAAAATAAAGCTTCTGTTCGTGGCTCGAAATCAGATGTTACAGACCTCCAAATCCGATTTTCACCGTTCAGATCAAATATCAAGATGTTACTAACACTTAATCAAAATATCAGCTGGATTCAACGGTTAACGAATCGGAAAATGTGATTTGAAGTTGGCTAGTCGGAATACAAAGCTGCAACAATAACATATATTTTTCTTCTCTCTTCTCTCTCTTAACGAAAGCTCTCTCAAAAACCACTCTTATGTGCTTAAGTCTTTCAAAGACTTGTATCAATAAGAATGGAATGATTCTCCAAGGTTCTCCTATTTATAGATCATGAGTGATACTTTCTCTTAAAACCAAAACCAACTCTAAATAGGAATAAACACCGAATCCAATTCCGAATAGGAATGGAAACCAAAAGAGAATAGGATTAGACCATTGGGCCTTTGGTTGGACAACATGGACATGACCCCAACAAACTCCCCCTCCAGCCAAGGGGCCAAATATGTCTTCAAGTAGAGGAATTATTGACAAGCTTTATACCTGCCAATTTTCTGCAAAATTCATGTTTATCTGCAACCACCGCCTTTGTCAGCATATTCGAAGGATTGTTAGGTGTTCGTCCAGATTTTCTTTCCATAATTGGTTTTCCTATCTCATGAAGGAAAGTACAACATATTTACCATAATTGAGTTTTTCTTTTCCTAGAAGGAAAATATAATTCTTCAATATTTGGCTAGTCCCTTTTCTTGTAGGAAAAGGTTTGGAGTTTTATAAATTGAAGATCCTTCCTTCTCATTCAACAACATCCACAATGTAGCCATATGGAGTTTGAGAGTCGTGTTTAGGGGGAGAATTTTATGGGACAAGTGTTAGTGTGTCACTTGTATTTGCCTCTTTGTGAGGTTATTCTCTCGATATTTTGTAGTCTTTTTTTTTATAGTGGATTGCTCATCTCCGCCTGTGGACGTAGGTCAATTGACCGAACCACGTTAAATGTTTGTATCTCTTTTGGTAAATTTCTTTTTTGTTGTCTGATTTATCGTCGTTCAAGGTTTACTTTGTTAGCTTCCGCATGACACCTGACTTATTTCGGTCCTAACAAATGGTATCAGAGCAAGTTCATCTTGGCGGATTAAGTTCAAGCCGCAAGCTATTTGACGGTAATAATGAGTTTGTGTCTGAGAAATTTGACCGGAGTGCTACCCACGTTGAGACAAACTTTGCAGTGGAGATTTGGAAATGCGAACTGTTGAAGGCTATCTGAAGAAGGTGGATCAAGTTTAGTTTGTCAGAAAATTCAGGCCAAGGGGGAGAATTGTTTGGTGTTTGTCCAGGTTTTCTTACCATAATTGGTTTTCCTATCTCATGAAGGAAAGAACAACATATTTACCATAATTGGGTTTTTCTTTTGCTAGAAGGAAAATATAATTCTTCCATATTTGGATAGTCCCTTTTCTTGTAGGAAAATGTTTGAAGTTCTATAAATTGAAGATCATTCCTTCTCATTCAGCAACATCCACAATGTAGCCATATGAGATTTGAGAGCCGTGTTTAGGGGAAGAACTTTGCGGGACAAGTGTTAATATGTCACTTGTGTTTGCCTCTTCGTGAGGTTATTTTATCGATATTTTGTACTCTCTTTTTATATAGTGGATTGCTCATCTCTGCTTGTGGACGTAGGTCAATTGATCGAACCACGTTAAATGTTTGTATCTCTTTGGCAGATTTCTCTTTTGTTGTCTGATTTATCGTTATTCAAGGTTTACTTGTTAGCTTCTGCATGACATTTGACTTATTTCGGTCCTAACATATTGAAGGTCTAGTCAGAAAAAAAAATAGTTGCTATCATGATTTGTCTTAATAGCTTTTTGGGTTAGTTTTGTTCGTATTCCATTTTTTCCCTTTTTTCTTTTGCTGTGTTTGATTCTTGTTATTAAGCAGTTGATTTAAGTCTAATGCTATGAAGAAATAGTTGATTTAGGATGAAGTTGAAGGGCATACTGGAGGAAGAACTTCTTGCTCTCGCATTGATCTTAATAACATTAATTTATTTGTTTGATTGATATGCAAATGGCTAATTTGAATGAAATTGGTTTGATCCTTGCAATGCTTGGCATTTTACAGCTGGATAAAATTCTATTTCATGGTTTTCACTTAAAATTAATTTTTTTTTTTTGTCAAATTTGATGTGAACTGTAAATCATCTAGGGTACTAGAGGCTATTATATATGAAACGCATGCCGGCCTGGTGTATAAAAGAAACTCAAGTACACCGTCAATGGGAAATTGACAGACTAGGACTACATTTGTATATTAATATGATGGTGTCTCCGACACTAGCTTGGCTACATCTTTTAGGTCTATTGTTTCTTCCAAACGCACACGCAAGTATACATGGTCGTACAAGTAATAAAATGATAAGTCGAGTGTCGAATTTACAGAGACTTTTATCAACTACCCACTAAATTCACCAAGATTGTTATTCAGTCGAGCCAATTCGGGTTCAAGAGTGTAATTATACTAAATAATAATTTTAAATAGTAACTAAATTATCAAGCAGTAAAATGGTTGTTGTGTATTCAGTAGAGACAAATATTCCAAGGTTGTGATTGATTTACCAATCCTATTGTGGTCTAGTTAACTTTCCCTTTCATAAAATTCACTCATGGTTACTAATTAATCGAATAATTGCTCTCATAACCTTCTCCTGAAGTACTACTTGCCTATTCAAAATAGATTAACGCTTATATTCCTATGAAATCAATCTATTAAGAACGCATTAAGATTATGATATTTAATTAAGCATAGTCACTAGGTATATTCCTATCCTAACCACAAATCCGCCCCCCTTCAGAGTTAAGATTGCACTCTCTTCATTGTTCTCTAACCTAAACATGACTTTCCCAAGTGTGAGCACGTGATTTTTGCCCTACCAAAAGATACTCCTACAAAATTGAAGAAATAGATTTTTTCTAATTTGTTTTTCAATTTTTAGAGTTTTTGAAGTATTTTTTATTAATTTTTTGCATTTTTGTGCACATTTAATTTTGTCAAAATCATGAAAAATGCCCCAAAAATATCAAAAAATCTCATGCATTGTATTTAGATTTTTTGTTCATATTTTTAGGATTAATTAGTTAGTTAATTACTTTATTAAAATAAAAATCACAAAAAAATATTATTCATTTTTACATTTTTAGTTTTAATGCTAATTTAGTAATTTCCTCTTCATTAATTTAGGTTTAACTAATTTTATAGTTTTTATAATTAGATAATTAGTTTAATTTTTCAAATTAAATTAATTTAGGATGCAGTTTAGGATTTTAATTAATTAGAGTAAAAGAAAAGGAAAAACAAAAATAAAAAATAGGTAGAACATATTTTTTGGTCTTGTTTCTTTAAAATTGGGCTACTTTAAAGCCCCGCCCAAACCACTCATCCCAATCCCTTACCCGGTCCAGCCCTTCAGTGACACCCAAACGATGTCGTTTTGCCCAGCTAAATCTCAATCGTTGATATTCAATGATCCAATGCCTGGGAACTGAGCTTCCCATTTCCATTTATCTGTCCGAAAATCCCCTAACCCTCCAAAGAATCTCATCTGCCTCTCACCCCAGCCCCAAAATTGAAACCCTAGCCGCCTAGGATTCCCCAACCCTTCACCACCAGCTGCCGCCCGCCGGAAATCACCTCATGACGGCGGCGACACTCCAAATCTGACCAAAAGGGTGCCATGCAATCCTCACCTCCCCTTCTTTCCAAATCCATTACTAGTTTTCCCTAAATTCTAACTAAATCCACCTAATTTCGGATCTGAAACCCAAAAAAGGCAAACCCTAATTTCCTTTTACCTTCTCTGATTTCGTGCAATTCCGACTCGTTTTGGCCTAAATCTTACGTTAATAGATTGCTCTCAACAAGATCAATCAATTGACGATAGTTTTGAGTCATTGCGAGATCATCAGATTCGGACAAGTTCGCCGGATTCCAGCTAGAATTCATCGGTTCAATTCAAATTCTTTATCATTACTTTTTCTGAGTTAAAATGGGGTAAAATCTCATTTCCCCCTTCTTTAAGTACCAATTTGATTTCACCACTAATATTCCCATTTGTTTATTAATTGTGTTTTCTTCATTAGCTCTGTTTGCATCATAAGTAGATCTTAGTTTAATTTTAATCAGTATTTAGTTTATTTGTTAGCATGTTTAGGTTAATTATAATCTGTCTTAGGTTAGTTTAATTGAATTTAATTTTTTAGTTGATTGGTTTTTGCTAGGTTAGTTTGTACAATTTTATTCATATTTTTGGGTTCTGGGTTGGCCAATGAAGGCCTGATCAGTCAAGGCCTAAGTTGTATTGAGCTTGGGCCATCTGGCCATGGCATTTGGCCCAAACCTAAGAGGAATGTTTTAGAAATGTACCAGCTGTCCAGAATTTGTTGGAAAAGATGCTGAAAAATGGACAGATGTACATTATTCTCTGTCAATATGCTGTACTATCCAAAGAATTTAGGTTAGAATATTCTTTGGATGCTGTTTTTGTATGCCATATATAAAGAAAAATTACTCTTTCATTAAGATAGATTTTCAGAACCTTAAAAAAATACTCTAAAAGTTTAG